AAACTCATGTACACAATCTACTAGCTGATGAGCTTATCTAAAATAGATGATTTTGGAAAGTACAATGTGCCACATTTTCAGATTAGTTCTTGTTTTCTAGAATGAATATAAGAAACACAATTTCAAAGAAGACTTAAGATAAAAATGGGCCAAGATATATCAAACAAATGCAAACAATAAGAAAGCAGAACATGTGATCCTATCAAGCAAGGTAGAATTCAGGTCCAAAGCTTTACACACCATAGCAATAACAACTAAAGGGTACTTTATAATGCTAAAGGCTGCAGCTGACAATGGATATATAAGAAGGTCCTAATGTACCAAATGTTACACCGTGTCCTCATAAAACAAAAGGTATAGGAGATCTAAGGATAAAGAGAACAGAGCCTTAGTAACAAAAAATCTTAATTTCTTTCAACACAATTCAAATGATCAAAAAATAAGTAGAATATAGAAGAACTTTAAGCCATAAAAATGTCTATTGAACACATGCACCAAACTTTATATCCCAATAAAAAGAAATTTAACTTCAAAGCCAATGGAACAGTCCTGAAAATGGACCATACTGAGTCATAAAGAATACCTCAAGATATTCCATATATCAGAAATAATTTGATCAAGATACAACTAACTTAATTCCTCTTTTTGTGAGGGCACAGTAGCTCATACTTAAGAAATTCTCCCACAGAAAACATGAAATCTAAAAAAAAAATTATTTTAAAAACAACTAGCTGGGGGCCAGTATTGTGACACAGTGGGTTAAGCCATTGCCTGTGCTGCTTTCATCCTGTGTGAGCACAGGTTCAAAACCTGGCTGCTCTACTTCCAATCCAGCTCCCTGCTCACATGCCTGACAAAGCAGAATAAGATGGCCCAACATTCAGGCCCCTGCCTCTCACATGGGAGACCTTGATGGAGTTCCAGGATCTTGACTTGGAGTCATTTGGGAAGTAAACTAGTAAACTAGTAAATCTCTCTGACTCTCTCTCTGTAACTCTGCCTTTCACATAAATAGGATCCACACAACTATCTGGAGGAAATGACAATGAAAAGTAGGCAGAAACTGGAAGAACCTACAATGGAAAAAGGAAGTGGCACTCTGATATATGCATACAATGGAATGCTACTTATCAATAAAGAGGGAAAAGCATTTTATCACATGATCAATCTCAGGAGTACCATGCTGAAAGATAGAAGCCTTTAGTGTACGATTCTGTTTATAGTAAGTTCTACAACAGGCAAAATTAATCTGTGGCAGAACACAGGCTGCCTCCTGGGACAGAGATGGAAGCAAATGATATGGGGGACTAGGCAGAGTCCGGTAGGCACACATGAGCTGGAATTTCTGCAAGTCCTACATTCTGACTCTATCCCCTTACCTGTCAATCTCCTACACCAACTTTCCCATGATATACCTGTGTCTCAACTGGGATCAAGAAACAGGAGACACCATGATGGATGGCCATATGGAGGTTAAACTCCTAGAAAGCCTCACACACACTAAACTATACCTATACTCCATCCCATCTATGGATTCAAGGAGGGCACCACCCCCATCTCATAGAAGAGACTGATAACGTGGGAAGGGTCCTTCTTTAACTCTTGACCATGCTTGGGGATCCTTCTCAGGCCTCCCAACTTCCTTCATAGGCAGCTCTCTAGCCCACTGTTGGAAAGTATCTCCGTTTGGGGTGGCCCACATTCACACGTGAATATAAGTTCTCTCTCTTGAATAAATCCTGCCTTCACTTGTGCTCTGTATCTATGCCTCTGCTTTGAATTCTCATCTCTGTGAGGGCAAGAACCTGTAACAAAGATTAAGAAGCATATGTCCCTAACACAAGGACTGCTCTAAACTGGGAATGGAGAAGGTGCATGAGGAAGCATGATAGAGCTTAAAAATATGATTAATTCAAAGAGAAAAAAGGTAAACAGAAATAAAAAAGCTCTGTATATGAAATAACATAACCATACTGAAAAAAATTCATTTCATACAGAGAAAAAGTTCATTTCTAGAAAATATGAATACAGTTCTTTGCTCTGTATCTACACATATACACACACACAAAGAATTACAAAGAACTTATATTGAATTATATAATAAAAATAGGATGAACTGATAGAGGGAAAGATGTAAGATTAGGAAAATATTAATTGCAGCATGTACTTGGTAGGCATGTGGGTCTTCATTGTGTAATTTTTTTAAACTTTTCTCTGACAACATTTTCATAATAATTTCTATCTGTTGGTAAAGAAATGCAAAGAAATCTTAAATTTATCTAAAGAGATTTTCATAGGCACTAAATATACTGATACTATAGGTATGAAATTATCTCACATAATAGTATTATAAAAACAAGGAAATACATTGCTGTTATTGGGAGTTAAGATTTTCGGTCTCATGCAACATATGATAATTTAAGAAAACAAAAATCTGTAAGTATTAATAGAAACCAATGATTTTTCTAAAAGTATCTTTCATATCTAGTACACTGAAAAAAGCCTAGACACAGTGACAGCCCAGTAACAATGAGCATACTTAGTTACCCACATCTTACTTTCAAAATACAATTCACCTCCACAGGACTCACAGCAATGGCTGACTCAAGGACTGGGGCAGGAAAAATACAAGGCAAGCCTGGATCTTCTTAATTTCAGAAAGCAAGGATGCTCTTTCTTTTCCTTTTTTTTTTTTTTTTTTTGTTAAGATTTATTTATTTATTTGAAAGTCAGAGTTACAGAAAGAGAGGAAGAGATAGAGACAGAGAAAGTAAGAGAGATTATTCCATCTCTGGTTCACTCCCCAGATGCCTGCAATGGCCAGGGCTGGGCCAAGTCCAGGCCTGGAACCAGGAGCTTCATCTGCGTCTCCTATATGGGTGGCAGGGGCCCAAACACACGGACCATCTTCTGCTGCTTTCCCAGGCACAATAGCAGGGAGCTGGATCAGAAATGGAGCAGCTGGGACATTAACTAGCACCCATCTGGGATGCCAGCACTGCAGCTTTACCCGCTATGCCACAATGCCAAACCAGCAAGGATGTTCTTAAAGTCTAGTAGAGGCATATGGAAAGAACAAGGAAGCCCTTGTAAAGAACTCCCACTGAACAAATTTGGGAAATTCTGACTATCACAACGCTTAATGACTAAAAATGATAATTATTAAATAAAAGTCTATGAATACATACAAAGAAAACAGAAGAATGCACACATTACCAGTTAAGAGGCCCAGGTATTTTACCCTAGCTTTGATATATAAATCTAAAGGGATTGATCTTATTTAACATTTCTATAAGTCAGTAACTTCAAAACTAGTAAACTGTCAAATTAAGAAAATGGCTCACTTCACAATTCACTAAAAAATACTTAAAGAACATTAGCTCTTAAACCAGCACTTCTCAAATCCTTCTCTGAAAAAGCATCCTTAACAAAGTACCCTAATAATCCTAATAAAGGATGAGGGGAAAGAACACAACATAGTCCCAAGAGCAAGCGAACATAACCTAAAACTATCCCACAATTCCAGGCATTCATGCTTCCTCCCAGGAATGCACGCTGCAAGAAGGCGCACCGCATCTCTGCCATGGACGTGCCCGCTTCCTGATGCTCAGTCCTGCTCTCTCAGGGATGCGTCCCTGTTTGAGAGCACTGACTTAAGCCAATGTATGTCTACATGAAACAATTTCATTTCATAATGCCTGGAGCACCTAATAATGAAAATTACTTGACATTTGTTGAGTATAAAGTACGGAAAAGGCATTTTATTAGATTTATATATAAAAATACATAAAGTCACAATTTTTTTTTACATGAAATACTTTTATTTTAGACATGCAAGAAAAAGCTATTTCAGAATCTTAAAGTCACAATTTTAAAAATGTAAACATTATCATGCCCACTGTAACAAGGAATTGAGGTCAAAGAGAAAAATGAATATCTCATGGCGCTACAGCTAATACATTCAACTATTTTGTATTCAGATCTCTATTATACCATAACCTCATCAATATTTTATTTCTATAAAATAATCTTTTCAGATCTGTTTTTTTTTTAACCTTTTATCCCAAGAATTTAAAGTAGGTACACTGTTACCAGTCCAGTGGCCACTAATGTCTCAACAGAAATTCTTCACTTGTGCCAGACCTGTAGACTTATCAACAATGGCCTTCTGTTCACATGAAGTGGTATTTGCAGGTTTTTAAATTCTTTTCTATCCATAAGGGTTTTTTTTCCCCAATCCATACGGCTTTGTATCTTTATAATTTTGCTGCTCTTTCACATAGTATCTAAGTTCTATTACTTTCCTTTTCATTAGCACATCTCTAAGCAATTAATCTTATTTGAATTAGTGTTTTTCAATCTACATTTTATAGACTCGGCTATCAGTCTTGGTCCTTTCTTAACATTTTCCCTCATTCCCTGCTTAACTACTTCTTTCTGTTTTACATTCACATACTGAACACAACAAAGAGCCCAGTGAAGTCTGCTGCCTAACGGTAGGTTCACTCTGAGCTCTGCCATCACAGTGTGTATGATGTCAGCTGCTACTTCAGGGTGTTTGTTTTCTTTAAAGTTTGGTGATTTGACATTTGTACTTCAAGAATAAATTATACTGGGGCTGGTGCTGGGGTGTAGCAGGTAAAGCTGCCTCCTGTGGTGCTGGCACCCTATGTGGAGTCCCGGCTGCTCCTCTTCCAATCCAGCTCTCTGCTATGGCTGGGAAAGCAATGGAAGATGGTCCAAGTGCTTGGGCCCCTGTACCCATGTGGGAGACAGGAAGAAGCTCTTGGCTTCGTATCGATCAAGATCCAGCCATTGTGGCCACTTGGGGAGTAAACCAGCAGTGGAAGACATCTCTCTCTCTGCCTCTCTGTAACTCTTTCAAATAAATAAATAAATAAATCCCTTAAAATATATATTAAAAAAGAATAAATTATACTATGTTTTTAATTCAAATTTTTAAAGTACATTAGAAGCTAGAAGCAAACTATGCTACTAACCATCTTCCAGTTCCATTTGCAGTCTGCTCTTCTAACTTCTGTAGCTCTGATGTATAAGCCAATATCCGAGCATTGCACACCATGAGATTCTTAACTGCATGTAAAATCTGGTCCTTCTGAGTGATCAGAGAAAGGAGTTTCAATATTCCTTCTCGCATTCGAATTTCTAAGTCTATTTTTTCTTGAATGCTGCAGTCCTGAAAGAGAGAGAAAAGTATTTTAAACAGCTAGTGAAAAATACAAGGTTACATTTCTTTTTACCCCTGACAGGTGGAAAACATACTAAACATACCAGACCATATTGGGCAAGAAGCAAAGTTTTTAATATGTGATAGTATTATTAAAAATATGGCTATTTTGGACCAGCGTTATGGCACAGCAAGTTAAGCTGCCACTTGCAATACCGGCACTCATGTGGGTGCTGGTTCTAGTACCAGTTGCTCTACTTCCAATCGAGATTCCTGCTAATGCACCTGAGAAGGCAATGGAAGATGTTCCAAGTACAAGGGCCCTTGCTACCCATATGAGACTGGGATGGAGTTCCAGGTTCCTGGTTTCCACCTGGCCCAGCCCCAGCTGTTGAGGCCATTTAGGGAGTGAACGAGCAGATGAAGATGTCTCTTTCTGCCTGTCCCTCTCTCTGTAACTCTGCCTTTCAAATCAATAAATCTTCTATGTAATATATACACATTGCTATTTTAAAACGCTCTTTCAACAATCTTAATTTCTTGCTTAACTAGGAATCTTTTTTTTTTTAAGATTTATTTATTTATTTGAAAGACAGAGTTATAGAGAGGCAGAGGCACGTAGAGAAGTCTTCCATCAGCTGGTTCACTCCCTAAATGACTGGAATAAGCTGGAGCTGGGCCAATCCAAAGCCAGAAGCCAGGAGCTTATTCTGGGTCTCCCAAGAGAATGCGGGGACCCAAGCACTTGGGCTATCTTCTAGTGTTTTCCCAGGCCATAAAAGAGAGCTGGATCAGAAGTGGAACAGCCAGGTCTCGAACTGGCACCCATATGGGATGCCAGTACTACAGGAGGAAGTTTTACCCACTATGCCATAGCACTGGCCCCAAGAAGTCTTTACAATTTACTAAAGAGAATATAAACAAAGGTGAGAAACATTCCATGTTCTTACCATAACTTTACCATGTTTAGTAGTGTTCCCTCCCCAATTTTTGTCCTAGAATCTCAAAATGTAACCCTTTGGTGATACATACAGTGTTACAGATGGAATTAGTTAACATGAAATCATATTGGAATACAGTGGGCCCCAAATCCAGTGTCTGGCGTCACTAGAAGGTCACATGAAGACAGACAGACAGACACACACACACAATGCCATGTAAAGTAGGAGAATGGAGTGGTGATGACTCTAAACCAACACCTAGGATTGATGGCAACAACTAGAAGTGGAAAAGGCATGGACACTTCTTCCCTGTGACCATCAGAGGGAACATCTGGACTTCAGACTTCTGGTCTCCAAAACCATGAGAGAATAAACTTCAGTTTTTTTCAAGCCACCCAGTATCAGTCATTCATTACCACAGTCCTGAGAAACATACAATAGGGGCAGATGTTTGATCTAAGAGTTAAGACACTCACAACCCATATCAGAGTATGTAGGTTCGATACCCAGCTCTGTAATACCTTGATTTCAGAATTCATTTCCAGAAGTATGAGAGAATAAATCTGTTTTTTTTTTTTTTTTAATTTGACAGGCAGAATTATAGACAGTGAAAGAGAGACAGAAAGGTCTTCCTTCCATTGGTTCACCCACCAAATGGCTGCTACGGCTGGCGCTGCGCCAATCCGAAGCCAGGAGCCAGGTGCTTTCTCCTGGTCTCCCACGCAGGTACAGGAGCCTAAGCACTTGGGCCGTCCTCCACTGCCTTCTTGGGCCACAACAGAGAGCTGGACTGGAAGAGGAGCAACTAAGACTAGAACCCTGCGCTCACATGGGATGCCGGCACCACAGGCGGAGAATTAACCAAGTGAGCCACGGCACCAGCCCCAACCTGTTCTTTTTAATAAATGATTATTATTTTCATCTACTTGATAGGATGAGCAAGAAAGTGGGGATGAGGGGAGCTTTCATCTGCTGGTTCAGTCCCAAAATGTCTACAACAGCCAGGCCCAGGCCAGGTCAAACCCCAGAGCTAGGAACTCCATCTAGGTCTCCCACATGGATAGTAACTGGGCCATCTTCCACTGCCCGCCCAGGCACATTAGCAGGAAGTTGGATTGGAAGCCCAGAAGCCAGGATTGGAACTGGTACCCGATATGGGATGCAGGTATCACAAGCAGCAGCTTACCCTGATGTGCCAAAAGGCCTGCCCTAACTTTTGTTCTTTTAAGCTACCAGTCTGTCATTTATTATTATATGTTTCTGATGGTGTTTGACCTGGTAGCTAAAACACCCGCATCCCATAACAAGTGTATGTAGGTTCAATCCCGGCTCTGTTTCTGACTCCAGCTTCCTGTTAATGCACAACCTGGGAGGTGGCAGTGATAGCACAAGCAACTGAGTTCCTGCCACCCACGTGGGAGACCTGGATTGAGTCTCCAGCTTCTACCACCATGGGCATTTGGGGACTGAATCAGTGAACGAGAATTCCCTCTTTCTGCCTGCCTCTCTCTCTCTCTCTGAATCCTTGCCTGCTTCTTAAATTTAGAAACAAAAACAAAACCAAGAAAATTTTTAAAAAGATCCATACAATAACTAGTATGACGACTCCACCACATATATTAATATATAAACTATTATGTAATGGCAAGATGTGGCTGATGAATTAACCAAGGAAAACTTCTCTGAAAGAGCAGAGGCTGAAGGAAGGAACCAAGGCTCAGCAGCAGGGAGGTAACACTGTCATGATAAGCATTGTAAATGAAATCTCAAAAGCTAGAGTAAAAATGTCAGAAGCTTAGCTACATGCAACAAGGATTCAGAATACAGTTCTGAGAACATTTATTTAACTTTTAATAGTCACTATGAAACTACTAAATAATTTTAGTTCTGAAAGCTTTATTATCCCTTACAATCATCTTGATCTTTTTTTTCTTTAAAGATTTATTTGTTTGAAATGCAGAATTACAGAGAGAAAGGAGAAACAGAGCAAGAGGTCTTCCTTCCACTGGTTTACTTCCCAAATGCTGCAACAGCCAGGGCTGTGCCAATCTGGCACCAGGAGCATCTTCAAGGTCTCCCACCACATGCTTGGGCCATTTTCAGCTGCCTTCCCAGGTGCATTAGCAGGGAGCTGGATTAGAAGCGGGGCAGACAGCACTTCAACTGGTGCCCATATGGGATGCTGGAGACTCAGGCAGTGGTTTACCCCTCAATGCCACAACACTGGCCCAGTAGCCTGATTCTACATACATGCTGCACGTGGCATCAAGATTCTACAAACTGAATGTCTAGTTCTGATTTAATTCAGAGACTTTATGAAAATTGTAAAACATAAGATACTCTTTACAACAAACATGCACTAATGCTTCTGGTAGGTTTATTTCTAAAAGAAAGTAAAGTGACCGTTTTGGCTTCTGCAGGAAAAAAAAAAAAAACTTACCTTCTAATTGTATCAAAGCATAAATAAAAAGACTGTCAAGGGGGCCAGTGTTGCAACACCGTGAGTAAAGCCAAGATGCTTACATCCCATATCAGATCAGTTTGAGTATTAACTACTCTGCTTCAGATCCAACTTCTGGCTAATGGGTCTGGAAAGGCAGTAGCTTAGCTACATGGAACAAGGGTGGCCCAAGTGCTTGGGTGCTTGCCTTCCTTTTGAGAGACCAGATGGTGTTCTAGCCTCCTGGCTTTGGCCTGGCCCAGCCCCAACTGTTGAAAGTGCATGGAGAGTGAACCACTGGTTGGAAGATCTCTTTGTTTCTCGCTCTCCCTCTGTCACTCTGCCTTTCAACAAATAAAATTTTAAAAAATGTACAGGGGCTCTAATAAAAAAATTTCCAGATATTAAAAAGATAACCTTTGCAAAAATAAGATGAATGTTAGGAGAGTTAATACTCTACAAAGATTACCCAAAAAGAAACTGTCATAGATGATCCAAAACAATCCAATGCACCATTCAAATGCAGGAAACAGATCTAATTATCTTCTGTAATTACAACATGTAATCACCACATAAAAACCTTCTTATGTAGTGCTGTAACTCAAAACTGGTACACTACATAAATACAGACATTTACTGGTTTTCCTTTACACATGACTGAATTTCAACAACTCCATTTCATCTTTCTATGACTTGTCGATCACAAATTATTCTTTAATGTAATTAGCAATTAATTATAAAAATTATTCATATGACCCATATGTCTATAGAAATAAACTCTGGCAGAGGGTTTAGTACTAGAGAGTGCACATTGGGAAGAACTTGATACTGAGATGAGTAGCCTTACCCCACAACTCAAGTAGAAACACAAATCATCTGGTGACACTAAATTCAAATTTGTTTTCTAAATGCTGCAACGAGGCAGCATTTATTTATTAATTTATTTTGACAGGCAGAGTGGACAGTGAGAGAGAGAGACAGAGCGAGAAAGGTCTTCCTTTGCCGTTGGTTCACCCTCCAATGGCCGCCGTGGCCAGCGCACCACGCTGATCCGATGGCAGGAGCCAGGTACTTCTCCTGGTCTCCCATGGGGTGCAGGGCCCAAGCACTTGGGCCATTCTCCACTGCACTCCCTGGCCACAGCAGAGAGCTGGCCTGGAAAAGGGGCAACCGGGACAGGATCCGGTGCCCCAACCGGGACTAGAACCCAGTGTGCCAGCGCCACAAGGCGGAGGATTAGCCTAGTGAGCCACGGCGCCAGCCGAGGCAGCATTTAAACTAACACAGGGGTCCTCAAAGCCAGCTGCCATTAGAATCATCTGAGGCTGAGAGGATGGGCCCTTTGGAAGTAAAGGTACCTAAACCTATCACCTAGCCTAAACAGATCAGGATCACTGGAGGTGGGGCCTACGCTTTATTTTATTTTTTAAAATTCTTCTGGTGATTTAATATCCTAGGTAAAGAACCACTGCTGGATAGTTTGAAATCCTCCACCATCTTAAAAGTTGCAACAACCTTAAGAAACCAGCAGGTGGCCACAGCCACACTGAGGACATCCGTTCAGGCTTCTGGGCTTTCTACCCTGTAAATTGAAGACTGTCTTCTCCCTATTGCTCATTGATGGAGATTTCACAAAAAATTAAAGGCTTGAGTAGTAGTAGAGAAAGAAACTAAAGTCAGAGTTTTTGGAAAACTTATGTGTAAGATGAAGTTACTATTCATTAGGGAAATAAGGTATATCTAGCAGATTGTACCTTTGGCATTTTATCGTTTAGAGCAGGGACCAGCACCTGTTTCTGTAAATAAAGTCACATTGGGAGTACTGCCGCATCTGTTTGTATTGTCTCTGGCTATTTTCAAGCTACCATGGCAGACTTGAATAATTTCAACTGCAGTTTGTGACCTGCAAGGCTGAAAATTATTTACTAACTAGCTCTTTACAGAGCAGTCTACCGACCCCTGGCCCTGCCCAATTAATTCAGCTATGAATACCTCCCTTGCAGAGGAGGACCTCATGGTAAAATGTGTTAAATGGATCTGGGAGAGCCGACACAAGCAGGATGAATTGGTGTTAGGTATGGTTTTGAATGTGCTGAGAGTTTTGTTTTTTTAAAGGCTCTTGTTTTGGCAACTTCTTTTAGTAAGCAACCGCACTTTACATGCAGAAGACTTCTCTACTCAAGCAACACTATCTCTAGTCAAGGAAGGGTTTAAAGGAGTCAAATGATTGAAGGATACTAAGTGCTGCTGAGGAAGGAACTTGTGTTTGGAGCTGCCCACAATGAGGCTAATAATCATGTAATGAAGGAACCCACTGAGCATTCAGTGGTAATGTTTACTGACTTCCAAGAAGAGTTGGAAGCTAAAATCATTACTGTTGTCACAGCCATTGAGGTATGGCCAACAAGAGTCAAGGAGGATTAGGACTAATGACAATACACGTTTCCTTGTATCCATCCCTCTTGGGTGTGCTTGCTCCAGGAAGAGCAGAGAATGGGGTGGAGCCATTCTTTTGTTAGTTCTTCCGCAATTTTTTGAATCAGGACTTGCTTATATTTAAATGAAACAGAAGACTATGTCAACATCCCACTCTTGTAAGTACTTAAAGTCAAGCTGATAAAAATAAATGGATAGGGCAAGGTTAAGAATGAAATAAGAAGATTCCTTAAAAGCATCTGCCTAGATTATGTAAAAACCAAACACCTATCAGATTTTAAGAGCTAAAACAAAGGAAGTGCAAAAGATAGGGCAATGATGGTTAATTTTATGTTGTGAACTTGACTGGATTAAGGAAGACCTTGAAACCTAGAAAAGCTTTATTTTGGGGTGTGTTTCGAAATGAGATTAGCATGAGTCTCAATGGACTAGATGGGAAGACAGATTAAGGAATACCTAAAAAGCACTATTTAGGGAGTGTCTGTGAGGGTGTTTCCAAATGAGATTGGCATTTGTCTGAGTGGACTAGATGGGTAGACTGGGCCTTGACCCTGGGTGGGCATCATTAATGGGCTAGGTAAGTGGAGAGAGTGAAGGAAGGTGCTTATGGGCTCTCTGGAAGAAAGCTGGGAAATCCTCATCCCAGCCCCCTGGCTGGCACTCAGGCTTTTCTGCCTCAAACTGGGACTCCAATCCCAGGTTCCTCTTGTATCGAGCTCATTGGATTAGACTGAGCCACAGGCATCCTAGGCTCTCAGCATCCTCGCTCCAGAGCCTACAGATGACCTGTCCTGGGACTTCCCAGCTGCTACAACGGGGTGAGCCAACTCTCGCCCTAGGAAATTCTCCTTCATATACTTGTATGCATAGCCTATCAATTCTGTTTGTCTAGGGAATCCTGACCAACACCCAGCCTTACTGTTGGTACTAAGAACTACTAAAATACCTTCAAGTTGGGCTGCTGATAAGATAACACTATCACCTACCAGTCAAGCCTCCTTAGCTAAGAGATCAACGTGAAGATGAAGAAAAAAAAGACTGCAGAAAAGCAGAGGCAGTACTCCTGTAATCTCATTTTTCTAAAGGAAACTTTGTATATTTGAAGAATTGCTTACTTTTAAAAACAAGTCAGGAAATTGGTAATAGTGGCCATCCTGGGGAATTGGAATTGGAGAAACAACTTTTAAATTCTTATATTTCTGTATACATTGATTTTTCGGCAATGAGGTAATACTAGCTCTCAATTTTTAGTAAGATTTCAAAAGCCCAAACATTTACATGAAAATGCAGGTGACTGCCTCTACTGCTCAGGAGAACAGTAAAGACAAGTAAATGACAAGAAAACTTGTCATTTCTCAAGCATGTCCTGAGTGCTGGACGCTGCGCTCCAACCCCACATTTTCCGGGCTGGACACGATGTCCGTTTCACAACTGTGAAAACCAAGATTTGCTTATTAAGAATGCACAACAAGCACAGGTGAATCTGACCCAACACTGACTCCAAAACCAGTGAGGAGTCACAGATGACCCCAAGGTTTCAGTGAGATGTTTAACTAATGGATGGCCACCTCCAAATCTTTGATCTTATCTCTGTTAGATAGCAGCTTCATTCATGCCCAAGAAAATAAAACAAAAAAATTCAGTGTTAATCAACTACCAAATTCTCTTACTGACCTTCACAATTCCTGTTAGGTTGAAACCATTTACTATTTTTGCAACTTTCTCCAAGATCCAAACAAAAGCAGTAACTCCACATTTAAGCTGTTTTTTTTCTTTCCTAAGAAATCAGTAAGCAATGTACCTTCCCATATCTAAATAACCCAGTCCTTATGCACATTCAATCTTTTTAAAACATTTATTTGCATTCCATGCAGTTAAAACTTCTTTCACAACTTTATGCTCTTTACTTTACCATTCTTGAACATTCTTACAGCACAGAGCTCAGTAAATGAACTTGGAAGGCTACCCCAAAACCTATGACACATGCAAGAACCCAACAGGCTATCAATTTACTCGAAGTCAAGATTTTTGTTAACGATCAAGCCAGCCACAGCATATGATAAGATAGGACAGAAAACTACTTTACATCCAAACCTTTGAATTTTTAAAAAAATTTTTTAAAATGCTGGCATAAATTACCTAAGTAAAGGTAGCAGAGTTCATTTGCATCATCGTTCTTAATGCTTCATTTTTCACATTATTATTGAGGTTTGCCTAAAAATTTTGGATCTGCTGTGGAAATTTCATACTCCTAAACAAAAGCATTAGGTTGCACCAAAAGAAAGTGCAAATATTCTACCCATTTTGACAAGTCAAATTGGCAGGCTACACGTGATTTCAACTTCAAAACTACAGGTGATTCAGAAGCAGGCAATAGAAAATGCAGAGCGAAACAGAAGCAAAGATCCAGCTCAAAGATATCAGTTTTCTTTGATGACCCTGAAGTCACGGTTAAGAATGGGAAGTATAATGCAACACTTTGATAACTGACGTTGCTAAGAAATGATGTTGGTCTATATTAAGTAAAAAGTTTTCTAACATAATTTTACAAGCCAAACATCAAACACCTACCTTATCCAATGTGAGATAATTCATTCTCCAACCTTCAACTTTCTTTTAAGGTTCGGCAGTTGCAGCTTGCTTCTCCACCCCAGTACCCACCCCCTTTTGCTCTGTGTAGACATCACTCCAATAACTGGCGCTCTCCATTAAATTTCGTAACAAGCCAAGTGTCCTGCAGTGGCCCCCCTGGCTTTCTTGGAAATCCCAGGGCACCCACGCCCCTGCATCACCTGTGTGCAGACACAGGAGCGTCCAAACCCCGAGGAGGGCGGCGCACAGGTGCGCCAGGAAACGCTGGGAGACGCTCAGCATCGCTTTCCCGTGCTGGGCCTCGGCTTGCTCCCTAAGAAATCTGGGGGTTCAGATGCCCAAGCCCTCTGGAGGCTCAGGGTGCCGCCTCCTAGTCCCTCCCTTTGTTCCTGGCCACGGCTGAAATCGGGTCGAGGAGTACCGTGCTCCCGGACGACGAAACAAAGCCACGGCGTGAACTGCTGCCAGGCCCCAGCTCTGCCCGCAGCCGGGCCTCTCCTCACTCACCTGCTGGGTGCCAAGCCCCGTCAGGCCGAGCTCGGGCTCCTTCGGCGTCTGCTCCTCCATCTCCGGCGCAAACAGCCGGGGCCGCCACCACTCCTCCAAACGGGAGATTTGAAAAACCCGCCCCTGGCTGCAGCCACCGAGTAAGCCAACCGCCCGGCCGTACCAACTGCGGGCAGCAGGGGGAAGGGGCGCAGGGGACGCCGAGGTGGCGCGCGCACGCGCAGTGGGTGCACCCCGCGCCCGCCGCGCCAGGGGCCGGAAGTTTGTGGAGACCCGAGTTCTGAGTGCGGGCTGCTGCGGGAGGCCTTAAGGCACAGGTGGGGAGGTGGGCGGGCCTGGGTCGAGGGTGGGCAGGGCCACGGGGAAAGCTTAGGTGATTGAGCGCCGCCGACCCAGCAGCGCGGGTTAGGCGCGTGGTTTTCGTGTCACGGCTTTGCCCTGGGAGCCTTCTACCCGCAGCCCTCGGAGGTCCCCCGAAGTGATTGGTGCGGATGGACTTGGGGCTGTGGTCCTTGGACCCACCCCCGTGCCGAAAAGTCCGGGACTCACGGTATCCTCCGGAGCTCGTAGTCTGGCTCCCAGAGAACTAGGTGGCATCCCTCTCAAACACAAGCCTCTCACCTCCCGCACCCCCAAGCCTTGTCACCCAGGGCCTTGCACTCATTGTGGTCTTGTTAATCAGGCTCCTGAGACACCATGCTGGGCGTTTCACCAAGGGCTTGTCTGATGCCTCCTGCATGTCTTCATAATCCCAGATACGTCCCGCCCAAGAACGCTGTTCTTTGGCGTTCCCCCGCCAGCATCCAGGGTTGCGGGGAAGCGGTTCCCAGGCCACCATGATTGCTGCTCCAAAAGATGAGCGCAAAGACCCCCTTTGAATGGGGTTTGTTGTGTATCATAATGGGGAAGCATAGAACTTTAAAAGTCAAAATGGAATGGCAAAGATTTTCGGCCCTTGTGAAGTCCTAAAAATTCATTGCCTCTAGCTTATCTTGATTGTCCTTTAAAAAACCAAGCTGGTGTGGGCTTCGGACGTTTTTTCCTCTCTAGGGAAGAGTCTACCAATCCAACCTACCTTCACTTCATCGGAAGGCCTTGGGCACTTTTCTGGCCGTAGAGTAACCATGTGTTTTATTTGCAGCCCGTCCTTTTTCTTGGGGGTGGGGGTGGGGGGGTGGAATCTGTTGTCCTGATGTCTGATTCCATCTTGCAGTTTCCCGAAGTGTATTTTACAGTGTGTGGTCATCTTGCCCACAAGGCCCACTCTTAGGCAGTTGAGGATGTGTATTCTAAAACTATAATGGCTGCTACTGTGATTTGAACAAGATGTGACTGATGAACTCGTGGGTGTTAAACCTCAAAGTTATTGGTAGTAAGAAGGTGGAAACAATCCACGTGTGGTGCTTAGAGGTAGGTCCTAGTGGAAGACCCATAGGTCCTTAGCCATGGGCTGTCAGAGGCAGCTTTCACAGGAGGGCTCAGCCCTTCCCTCTGCTTCCTGGCTTGCCCTGTTAGCCTTGCTCTGCGGGGCTCTGCCACCACTATCCTCTGTTGCCACAGGACCAAACCAGTGGGGCCTGCCCAGTCTTGGGCTGTGAACCTCCAAAGCTACCAGCCAAAATAAACCTCCTTTCCTAAGTAGCTTCTCTGAGATATTTTGTTATAGCGTTGAAAAGCTAATACAGGTGCCCTTCCTCTCAAATGGGTAATTTACATCTTTGAGCTCCTTTTAAGTAGGTATGCTGTAAGCCCGAGCAGTTAGGAATGGCTCTCCCCTTATATTAGGAAAGTGGAGTCATTCCTAAAGACCCATGCCTTTGCACACAACTGTGAAATATCTGGAATTCAGATTTACCAACAGAGAGCTCACTTCTTTCTCTCCAAAGGCAGATCTGGATTCCACAGTCACTAGGTGCCCCTTCACTCAGCACACCCCCCTTTAGCTTCCCACTTTGTGGGGGTAATTATCCCCTACTCAATGTGAGTCTAGTATAGTACCTGACTCATAAAGGAAATACAGAGACCTCATAATCAGACAGATGGTATTTATCATATAACACAGCTCTAAGGCTCAGATCAAAAAACATGTCAAAGGCAGCAATTCAGGAAAACAAGCAAGCCAATCTGAAATGGGGTCCCAAGGAATACTTGAGTGAATACTAGGTGCAGAATTGCTGGTGCATTTATTTGTAATACTTGAAGAATACAACCTAGAAAGGCCGTATTTAGTAATTATCTGTAGAACATACACAGTTGTGATTAAAGGCCTTTCTCTCTGGAAAAGATATGATGTGACCCTATCTATTATTCATCAAGGGTGTACCAGGAAGTGCTTAAGTGCTTAACTATTATTTGCGGATTAAAATAACTCAGAGTAGGACTTCTGTTTCCTTATTTACCCCCAGGTCCTTTCTTGTTTTCTGCTAATTTCATCAAGCATGATTTTCTCTAGTGTATGTAATGTATGCACAAATAGAATCATCTATGGGAACAACCAAAAGGTTGAAGAGTTCACTTGTAATACTTTGATTAGCTTGAGAATCTCAGTCTCCTCTCTGTCTCACTGTCTGCCTCTCCTTCTCTATTTTGCAGCTCCCAGAGAGTTGAAGGAGAACATTTGGGCATCTCTTTATCCACCATCTTTGGACTTTCACAGAAAGTAGATATCCACCCAGCAGCCAAAGGTACAGAAACTTCAGCTAGAGGTGAGTGATGGAATTACTGTTCTACCAATATTCCTTCCCATTATAAAGTCACTATTTAACGCTAATGATAATACTTATATAGATATTAGCTGTATCTAATATAACAGATAGTATTAAATAATAAAATAGTATTTGACATAGAACAGCCAATTTAGGCAATACTAATAAGTGGTAAAGTATATTTTTCTTCTCTTTATTCTGTGTTACTCTTCTTAATTCTTCTCAGAGGTTAAAGGAAAAGAAAATACTTAGCTTGAAATCATGTCTGTCTTATATAATACTCATTATTTTTTAAAATGTGGTTTGCTGCAGAATATGTAATTCTTCTGACTTCCAGTATCCTAGCCTCTCAAGAAAAAGTTATAAAAATTCTCTAGTGCCTCTTTTACAATCTACTCATCTTGTAGATAATGGATTAAAATGAGTTTCATAGATTAGAACTATATTTTAAATTATATACGACAGAGAAGGGTAAAGGTACTAAGCAGAGGTATAGTACTTTCTTAAATGAACAGGTTACAATGAGCTGAAGCATCCTGTAATCAGAAGGACATGGAAAGAGAAGTCCGAGGACTTACTAGCCCTATGATCTTGGGCAAGCCATTCAATTTCCTGTCTATAAAACAAAAATAATATCCACTCTGTTTTAAAAAATTCATTGGGTAAATCAGATGAGATAAGATTTATGAGAGTGCTTTGTAAAGTGGTTATCCCCAAAATATGAGCCAGGGAAGAAAACGTTAGTACCAAAAGACAGCTGTGCTAGAGCTATAGAACTCAACTGAATCAGAAAAGCATAACAAACCAGACATAATAGGTATCACCAACAGCATATCTTGACAATATATAAAGAGCTCCTACAAGTCAATAAAAATCCAATCCAAAAGATATGGTAGACATATTATAGGATAATAAACTCAAGTGAAAAATAAAATATTGAAGATTTCTCAACCTTATTATTCTGTGAGTTGTACATTAAAACCACAATGAGATAATATTTTATAGTCACCAGATTGATAAATATTAAAAGTCTTGTAATACTAAGGATTGGTAAGGATATTAGTCCAAGGGTTATTATATACTTGTAGAGGAATATAAATGTGTCCATTCACTCTGGAGAAGACATTTAGAAATATTTTGTAAGGTGAATATGTGTATACCTAGTGTTCTACTTGTGATATATACTCTTTGAGAAATTCCTGCAGATTTGTACCAGCAGTGTTGCATATAATAACAAAAATATTTAAATGTTCGTTTCAGGAGCATGAAAAAATAAACTGTGGCACCGTACCCAGTGGAAGATCCTATATCTTTAAAAATGAATAAATCATATTTATGTGTAATGATATGGCTAAACTTTTGAGATAAATGAGTGAAGAAAGCTAGTTGCAGAGTATAAATACAATATGTAATTTCTAAAAATCTTAATAGCAAGGGAATCTAAACAATACCTTTTTAGGGAAGGATAGGTGATAAAAGTTTATATTTAATAAAAACAGAATGAGAGGAAGGCAGGAATGTGAGACAGAGACAGAGCCTGCAGACAAAAAGCTAGTTACTGGTCGTATTTTAATTGTTGAGTGATGAGTTCACAGATACTCATTTTAATGTTTACCTGATAGCTTTACATGTATATCACAAGTATTATCTTGTATTCATCAAACATTTCACAACAATAAATAATTTTAATTATATAAAATATCTTTTTAAAAGTTAAAAGTGATCATGTATGATATTTTTAGAAAAATATTTACTTGGAAAAATCATAATACATTCTTCACCTTACAAAATTTAACTTGACATTTGATTATTCCTAGTACATTTTTACTATGTGACATCTGGGAAGCAAACAGCTGCAATGCAGTGGGGCTGGGCTCAGAAAGAGGGCTGAAGAATTGGCTCTGTGGGTTTATCTATGAACACTGAGGAACCACTGTTTAGGAAAGAGGAGGACAAGGGTCTAGGACATT